ATGGAGATTTTAGTCTGTGTTTTCACATGTACAATGTTCTTTGTGTGTTTCCCTGCAGATTCCGAGGTTGGTGAAAGTTGTGGAGGAAAGTTCACCTTACTTTAAAGTAATCAGCCCCAAAGATGTTAGCCGCAAAGTGGCTCCTGGAGTGCCCTCCGTATTCCGAATCCTCTTTACTCCAGAGGAGAACAAGGTAATACCAGGACTGGCAAGAAATTGGATACTTGTACTGGCAGATTGCAATTCAATTCTGAATATTTACAAAGGTGGTGGTGGTCTTGGTGTTGATATTTGTGTTGGTAGTGTTGGTGGTATGGTGGTAGTGTTGATGGTGTTGGTAATATTGATGGTGGTGATGATGTGGATGGTGGTGGTGGTAATATTGATGGTGGTGATGATGTGGATGGTGGTGGTGGTAATATTGATGGTGGTGATGATGTGGATGGTGGTGGTGGTATTGATGTCGGTACTGGTGTTGTTGCTATTAGTAGTGTTGGTGGGTAGTGGTGGGTGGTGGTGTAGATGGTGGTGATATTGTTGTCACTAATGGTGGTGGTAGTGGTGTTGTCAGTATTTAGTGTTGGTGGATGGTGGGTGCTTAAGTGGTAGTGATGTTAGTATTTGTAGTGTTGGTGGGTAGTGGCAGCAGTGGTGTAGATGGTGGTAGTATTGATTGGTGATGGTGATGGTGGTATAGATGGTGATGGTGCTGTCATTGATGGTGGAGTAGGTGGTAGTGGTAGTGGTGTCAGTATTTGTAGTCTTGGTGGGTAGTGGTGGCGGTGGTGTAGACGGTAGTAGTATTGATTGGTGATGGTGATGGTGGTATAGATGGTGATAGTGCTGTCGATGGTGGCGTAGGTGGGAGTAGTTGTGAGAGGAGTGCTGAGACAAAGGACAAAGATTTTGGCTTTTAGGAAGTTTAGGGCCTTAGTTGGTTAGGACTTCCCTCCCCAGATTATAACTAGTGTGTGAAAGAAACCCAAACCTCAAACATAATATCATAGTATCTGCCTCAGTAATGGTAAAGCTAGAGCTGAGAGCAGAGGCCTGCCTGGCCTCTCACCCTGTCGGCTCACAGGCAGTCTAGGAAGAGCCTGCAGTCTAAAAGGAGGCCATTTTCCCTCAGCACCGCTGCAGCGGTGGGGAGGGGAATGAAGCCCAGTCTCACTTTCCTCAGTGATAGAAATTCCAGTTTCTCCCAGGAGGGACAGAACAGGTATGGGGGCCTGAGGGTGGAGGCTTCCTCCCCAGCCCTTCTCCAGAGGGTAGAACTGTCGGTCATTTTTCTTCTTTGTGGGCCTAAATGTGAGGAAAAGAGTTTTACCAGCATGATTGGAGGAGTGAGGACAGAGAACAAGTCTGAAATATGCAGAATAACATGCAGTTTGTATACCCTGTTAACAGCAGGGATCCTTATCGGTGTTGCACTCTTATGGTTGGAATCAGTAGAGCACAGTGGAGTCAGAACCAGCTTCCTCACTGCTGATACCTATCCGCCGCTGTCAGTGTCATTACCAGCATTCCCTCTACTATTGCTTGTTGTTACTACTTTTCTGGAGAGCAAGGATAGAGAATTTGATGTGATTTGTTAAGTGCATACTCCTTGTGGTGAGTGGTTAGAAATTCCATTATAATAATAGCTTAGTTATAATTTTGCCACTTTGTAGTATTACTATTTATATCTTGGGTTGCGTTTATGAAACTGTAATTTTGTTTGAGGTTCTAAGAGATAACTCCAGATGTAGGGCTTTTTGTTATATATTGTTGAAGTCCTCAATGTTTCTGGAGGCTCTCTGTCTGAATACTATTTGTGGGGAGAACAGTGTCCGGATTTACTCTGCGTATGAGATTCCTACACCATCTTTTCTGTAGAAAGCTGATCATAAGCCTTTGTGCAGCTTGAAATACAAAGCGTACTGGATTTCAGGAGGGGGTTTCCTTAGTTTTTTCTGTGCTGGAAAAAATTTGTCTTCTGTTGGTTAAGTATTGTACCTGCACCTGTCTGACTGAAAAAGGGATACATGAGACTTTCTCGAGATGGAATGTTCTATATTGGCATGAGGATTACATGGCTGAATTCCTTTGTCAAAACATTTAATATTTGTGCTTTTCAATATATACATACATTTTACCTAAAAAAGCCTATATAACAATAGAAGAGGGAGGGAGTGGATAGAGGGATAGAGGGAATCAGAATAATAGAGGGTTAAGAGTTATTGAATCTGAGTGATGGGTACATTGGGGCTTGTCATGCTAGTCCGTCTTCTTTGTTCATGTTTTAAATTTTCCATAATCAAAAGCTAAAAGAAGAGAGAGACTTATTACTGTTTATCTATCCAGCAAAGAAATAGTTGAAATTTATTTAAAGTTTGTTGCTACATAGTTTATCAACATGAAATGCTAACATTTCTGCTGAGGATTACTACTTCACTGTGTTTTGTGGCTGTTCATCTCACTCTCAGCTCTTTCATTCCTTCTTACCATTCCATTTATCCAGCATTGCATGTCTGTTGGGAAACCCTTAATTTAAAAAATTAACTAAGTTAAATGTTGTTATACTGTTACTTCTAAATAGTTGAAAGTCTAAAAGTTGAGAGTCGCCTATCACGGACTCAAGAAGGAAGCCAGACCGGAGATTCCCGGGCAGAAGAACACCATCAGTCTTAATGCCGCTGTTTTGGCCGGCGCAGTGGGTTGCTCAGATTCCGGCGCTGGGAATCAATAAATTGGACGTCTACTCAGAAACCTAATTAGAAAGGTGGTAATTATAAAGATGACAGACGGATAAATTTATAACGAAGGGAAGAAACCAGCCTGAAAAGGCTGAGAATACCCAATATCAGAACACCTCTCCCTCCACAAGGGATTATAGTTCCTCATTAGCAACAGAACAAGCCCTGATGGAAAAGGACTGTGTTCAATGAACAGAAGTAGGCTTCAGAGGGTGGATGATAAGAAACTTCTGAGAGTTAAAAGAACTTGTTCTAACCCAATGTAAAGAAACTAAGAACTTTGAAAAAAGGTTTGACGAAATGCTAACAAGAATAGACAATATAGAGAGGAATATAAATGAACTAATGGAGTTGAAAAACTCAACACGAGAACTTGACAAAATATGCACAAATTTTAATAGCCAAATTGATCAAGCAGAAGAAAGGATATCAGAGGTCGAAGACCAACTTAATGAAATAAAATGAGAAGACAAGAATAGAGAAAAAAGGATAAAAAGGAATGAGCAAAGTCTCCAAGAAATATGGGACTATGTGAAAAGACTCAAAACAGAGGGATGGAGAAAGATTTACCAACAAAATGGAGAGCAAAAATAAATAAATAGAAAGTTATCAAAAGCTACATGTATGTTTGAGGAGACATAGTGAAGATAATGGTTACCTGTGAGAGATTCAGCTAGGCAGTTTTAGAGACATTAAGATCTTGTGTTGGACTTGGCTCTAAACTGTATAGTTTATTTCCAAAGACAGAGTTGTTTTCTCATTTTGCTGGCTAGCTAACACTGATGATGGCGTAGTCAGTACCTACATTCACTTTCACTGTTGGAAAGGCAACAGGGCCATGCACAGAATGACCTGCTACAGTTAGGCATGTCTTTCGGGCTGCTCCAGAATGCAGCCAACAAGTGGCTAGAGCCAGATTTATTTTAGGAAAAGTAAAAGTCATTCATTTCACTAAGTGTCACTGTTTCTTCACTTGGCAAAATCGATAACCAAAATATGTGCTTTTTTCCTTCTTATCCCCTGCTGATCTGAGCACACTCCATTCTCATTTACCGTCCTCACATCTGGAGGGTGAGATATGTAAATTGCAGCATGCCACAGTTAATAAGCCAGTCCCCTTTCAATTGGATTTTCAGTACCCATGTATATTAGCACATCGAAGATGATAATGCAATTTACATTTTTCCCCCTGTCATCTATTAATCTGGCTGTCTGGGGAATGGAACTTGTTAAGAATGCCAAATGCCCAGATAACAGGTGCAGCAAATTCACTTTGGCTTTCCTTATCTCTCCTCACACAGACTTAAAAAAATGATTGGATATATTATTAATCTAATAATCCTAGTGTTACATATCATACACTGTAGAAATATAATAGTTCATGTCATCATAAAATAACATATAATATTCTAGAGCCAGACATTTTTCTTGACCTCTTAAGTTTGTATCTTTACCATTCAAATGAGAATGAAAAATATTAGGCTTTTGTGGGCAAGCAAAACATAGTCCTTCCTTGGACTTAAACCATCGATTTGCAATGTATTGTCATAGGGAAATGGCAGCAAGCTTTGAAGAAAGTGATGCAACTGGGTGGCTCAGTTATGGTTTAAGAAAATGTCTAATTTGTTGTCAGAATGGTTTTTCCAACTTGTCACTATGAAATTTAAAAACCATAGCCCAAGAAGAATAGAAAATGCAATCATGTTTTATGTTATCTATGTATACAATAGTAATAAAACTTATACTGCCAGCAATTTGAATTTAAATGTAAGTGTCATAAAATTGCCCACAATCAATGACTTTTTGTTGGCAAAAATAATGATCAGGATTTTATTTTCCTCCTGCCTGAAATTCACTCTCCAGTTCTATCTGGACTACTCCTGTAGCCCCAGTACCTGGCACAGGGCTTGACACAGAGAAAGGGTGCAGTTAAGTATTTGTGGAGTGAGATAAGTAAGTAAAAGTTAATCTAAGAAAATATAAAGAAGTTTCTTTGACTTGAGATTTGCCTACAGATGATAAGAGAATGTAAAAAGGGCTCAAATATCTTTTTGTGTCATGAATATATTAGATGTTAACTTTCTTCCTTGTCATTTCAGTTAAGATGACTAGGAAGTCTTCTCTAGAAGTTTCTCTTCCTTTTGTTTCATATTTTCAGATAGTCATATCAATACTTTTTAGCTTTATGGACTTCATAAATACAATTTGATAAGGCTAACAATGATTTTAGGAAAAAATTTTTTTAATTCTGTAAACTTTTTTTTTCTATGATCAGTTGACAAGGAAATTTCTTTATGGAAAAACTCTTGATAGTGTAGATATTAAAAAGAGAACATATTAAAAATAAATCATATTCTTTCATTTACTCTGTGCTAGCACCAGTTTTCTGAGCCAGATCCAATGGAGAATAGAACAAGCTTTGGCCTTCATGGAGCTTACATTTCACAATGAATCAACAAACAAACAAATATGTATAATTTAATGCCAGAAATTGACATAATAGAGGGTAGGGAATGATAAGGGCTCTGTTTTCTTTCAAAAGTAAGGTCAAAGAGTACTTCTCTGATACACAGATCAAGGGAAGACTCCTCTGGTGACATCTGGGCAGAGAACTAATATAAGCCATGCAAATATCTGAGGGAAGGGCTATCTAGGACCAGGAACAGCAAGTGCAAAGGCCCTGTGGCAGAAACACACTTGATAGCAGGCTCGAGAAAGTACAAGACCAGTGGGGCTGGAGCAGAGAAAGCTGTTGGAAACATGGTAGGAAATGAGATTGCAGAAGGTGAGCTCATGAAGGATCTTAGAAGCCATGCAAAGTGGGATAGGAAGCAACCACAAAGTACTTAAAATATTTTTATTACGGAAGGCTTTATTTTCCTCATATGCAAAAGTAGAAAGAACAGCATGGTGAACTGTCATCACCCAGCTTTTTAAATCTCAGCACATGACCTGTCTGGCTTCATCCGTCCTGCTCCTTGCCCCAGTCGATTTTGAAGCAATTCATCTGTAAATATTTCATTATTTTTCTCTAAAAGACAAGGGCCTTTTTAAAAATGAGCAAAACCACAGTACCATGATCGTGCCTAAAAAAGCCAGTCACCCCTTAATGTCGTCACATATCCAGTTGATAGTTTGGATCTTGTTTTTAAAAAACCAGCTTTAAAAATGTTGGTTAAAAAAAACAACAACATTGTATACTAAGTGCAACAATGGTTCACAATTAAGAAAAAGTTTTTTTTTTAATTGATTTTCTTAAATCAGGATCCAAACAAGGGTTGCTCATTATTCCCATCACTTCGTTTAGAATGACCCTTTTCCCCCTTTGCCTGTAACTGATAGATCTGTAGCCTTGATTAGATTCGTTTAATTTTTTCTTTTTTCTTTTTGGTCAAGAAGCCAATAAAGATCATTCCCTGCATCACCGAGGGTTAAGCTTCAAATTCCGTAATTTATTTTGCACTTACTGGTTGGAATTATTCTAAAAACAACAACAACAAAACCAAAACTTTCCCTCACCAGCTTTTCAGCTTCCCCGAGTTCCAGTCCGTTCTGGAAAGATAGGAGAAATGCTCGTCCTCTCCTTTTCTCCAGCCTAATGGGTTGTGATTAGGAATGACACAATCCGACTTACATTTTAGGACCACTCTGGCTGCCGAGTAGAGAACAGACTGAAGCGGGGGTACGTGAGGCGTCACAGCTAGTGGCCTCCCCTTGACATTCAGTTTCTCTTTCCTCGCTGGTAAGAGAACCACAATTTAAAACATTAATTTTTAATTGACAAATAAAAATTATATATATTTATGGTGTTCAACATGACGTTTCAGTAGATATACACACTGTGGAATGGCTAAATCAAGCTAATTAATATATACATTACCTCACATGCTTGTAATTATTTTTAGTGAGAACATTTAAAATCTACTTTCTTAGCATTTTCAATTTTACAATACATTGTTATTAAGTTGTATAGTAGATCTCCTGAACATCTTCTCCCTGTCTAACTGAAATTTTGTACCCTCTGACCAGCATCCCCGAATTCCCCAGCCCCACCCCCTGGGAATCACCGTTCTATTCTCTGCTTCTATGCGTTTGACTGTATTAGATTCCACATATAATTGAAATCATGCAGTATTTGTATCTCTATGCCTGGCTTATTTTACTTAGCATAATTGCCCCCAGGTTCATCCATGTTGTCACAAATGATGGAATTTCCTTCTAAGCTTACACAGTATTCCATTGTGTGTATATACCACATTTTTTTTTTGACAGTCTCACTCTGTTGCCCAGGCTGGAGTGCAGTGGTGCAATCTCAGCTCACTGCAGCCTCCACCTCCCAGGCTCAAGCAGTCCTACCTCAGCCTCCCAAGTAACTGGGATTACAGGTGCCCACCACCACGCCCAGCTAATTTTTCAAAATTTTTTTATTTTTAGTAGAGATGGGGTTTTTCCATGTTGGCCAGGCTGCTCTCAAACTCCTGAGCTCAACTGATCTGCCCATCTTAGCCTCCCCAAATTCTGGGATTATAGGCGTGAGCCAGTGTGCCCCGCCCACATTTTCTTTATCTGTTCATCCATTGATGGACACTTGGGTTGATTCCACATGTTGGCTATCATGAATAATGCTGCAATGAACGTGGGGGTTCAGGTAGCTCTTTCACATACTGATTTCATTTCCTTTGGATATATACCCAGAAGTGAAATTACTAGATCATATGGTAGTTCTATTTTTAATTTTTTGAGCAACTGCCATACTGTCTTCCATACTGGCTGTACTAATTTACATTCCCATCATCAGTGTACTGGGAGAACCACAGATTTTGACTGGACTCTGCTGCCTGAAATAAGAGATTACATTGCCCAGCCTCCTTCACAGCTGTGTGTAAGTGTCAGCCAATGAGATGTGAGTAGAGATCCAAGGCACCTGCTTGAAGAGGGCTGACACAGCAGAAGATACCCTGTCCCTTCTGCCTTCCTCCTCCTGCCCTGCAGCTTGACTGTGAAAGAGTTGTGTCCCAGGAATCACTCTGCCCCACAGGGTGACATCAGGGATGGCAGCTGCATGCTAGAATGGTAGAGGAGGAATTTAGGAATTTGGGTCTCTGATGACACTGTTGAGCCACCCTGCCGACCTGGCCTGCCTACCTCTGGACTTCTTTGTATAAGAGAGGTAAACTTCTACCTAGTATAAACTCCTCTTATTTTTGCTGTTTTTCCTGTTCTAACATAGCTGGCTGATCCCTGATGCATACAGGGGCCATACTTAGTTCAGGTAAAAGATAAGGAAAGTTTGGTTGAGGGCGGTGACAGCAATGGTGATGAAAAGTAGGAGGAGTAAAGATGTATACTTTCTTTTTTCTTTTTTTTTTTTTTTTTGAGACAGCGTTTCACTCTTGTTGTCCAGACTGTAGTACAATGGTGCAATCTCAGCTCCCTGCATGATCCCACCTCCTGGGTTCAAGTGATTCTCCTGCCTCAGCCTCCTGAGTAGCTGGGATTACAGGTACCTGCCACCACACCCAGCTATTTTTTTTGTATTTTTAGTAGAGACGGGGTTTCTGCATGTTGGCCAGGCTGGTCTCGAACTCCTGGCCCCAGGCAATCCACCTGCCTCAGCCTCCTAAAGTGCTGGGATTACAGGCGTGAGCCACCGCACCCAGCAAGATGTATACTTTTATTGTACAGCTGCCAGGATTTACTGATGGATTGATGAAGGGTATGAGAAAGAAATGCACCTAGTTTGAACAGTAGGATTTTGGCTAACAAATGGTCAAATGGTGGTGTCATTTATGGAGATAGGGAACAGAGGAGAAAAAGCAGTTTTGTGGGGCTGGGTGTTCAGTTCATAACTGAAGTGATGGCTTAAGCCTGCAGGCTGCCAGAGCCTCCCAGCTCATAATATCTGAATTAATTGTAAGCCAGCAGAGCAATATATAATGCTGTATAGTCTAGTATAGTCTTATTAAATGCATTACTTTAGAGATTGAAATACATTTAAAGGGACTTGTTTAGAGAACTTCATACTCTTTTATGGATGTGTGAATTGATTATGAAAAAATTTATAATTCTAATCAAACTTCAAACCTGCCTCATTTGGGAACTTGAAAAGGTTCGAAAACATCTCTCTCAGTATTTTGATTAGCCTCCTAAACTATTTTCAGCTGCCTTTAATTCCTTCTAGAACAAGGCAGCCGATATGTGAATATAGAATAAAATGAGACAAACACTTCAGGGTCTCCTCTTATCCTGGATTCAGCAGCATCTTTTGTTCTAGCTCTCAACAATCAGTTAATGCTCAGTCTCTACATGTGCCAGGGGCTTTTCAGTTTATAATTCCCAACAAAACGTGTGCTGGCTGGATTTGATCTAAGAAAAAGCAAAAATAGTACTTATCTCTTTAGGATTCTGTAGTAATCAGACGAGGCTGTTGTATTGTTGAATTCGGTGGGGTTTTCTAAGATCAAGTGTGCTTAGTGCAATTTGTACTTCCTCATGTCTGGATATAATAAGTTTTGAGTCTGGTATTACCCTCTGGAAACTAGAATCAATTGCAGAGCTTAGAGTCTAACAACTCAATTTTTTTATTTTTATTTTTACTTTATTTATTTGTTTGAGACAGAGTCTCACTCTGTCGCCCAGGCTGGAGTGCAATGGTGCCATCTCGGCTCACTGCAGTGTCTGCTTCCCGGGTTCAAACGATTCTCTGCCTCGGCTTCCTGAGTAGCTGAGACTACAGGTGTGAGCCACCATGCCCAGCTAATTTTTGTAGAGATTGGGTTTTGCCATGTTGGCCAGGCTGGTCTTAAACTCCTGGCCTCAAGTGATCCACCTGCGCCGGCCTCCCAAAGTGCTAGGATTACGGATGTGAGCTACCGTGTCCAGCCATTTAAAAAAATATATTTTAAATAAAAAGGAATTTCAGGGGACACAGTAGGTATATATATTTATGGGGTACATGAGATATTTTGATAGAACCATTCCAGGTGAAATAAGCACCTCATGGAGAATGGGTATCCATCCCCTCAAGCATTTATCCTATGAGTTCCTCACAATCCAGTTATGTTCTTTAAGTGATTTATAAATATACTGGCAACCCAATCAATTTTATAAATACTATTTATTCCTTTCTATGACTCACTCCTGACTTAGGACTTTTTTTTTTTTGCAACAGAGTTTCGCTTTTGTTACCCAGGCTAGAAGGCAATGGCACGATCTCAGCTCATCGCAACCTCCACCTCCTGGGTTCAGGCAATTCTCCTGCCTCAGCCTCCTGAGTAGCTGGGATTACAGGCACGCACCACCATGCCCAGCTAATTTTTGTATTTTTAGTAGAGACGGGGTTTCACCTTGTTGACCAGGATGGTCTCAATCTCTTGACCTCATGATCCACCTGCCCCAGCCTCCCAAAGTGCTGGGATTACAGGCTTGAGTCACTGCACCCAGCGACTTAGGGCTTTTATGTTCACAATTCCCCTTGCCAGGAGCACTCTGTTCCTAGATCTCACCCAACTAGCTCCTTTTGCTGTTCAGGTCCCCATCCAAAGGTCACCTCCTTAGTTGTTCTAACCTAAATCAAAATCAGTCCCATCCAATATTATCACTTCACCATGCTTTCTTTTCTTCAAAGCTCTCATCACTTTCTGAAATTATCTTGTTCTATTATTATTATCCGTATCAGTATACGGATGGCTAGATGGCTCCCTACCAACGAGAGTAAGCATATGTTGAATTTTTTTCTATATGCCTTACACAGATTATACTTAATACAAAAGTTTGATAAGGACAGCGAACATTTATTGCATACTTACTGGTTGCTAAATGCTAGGTTCAGTACTTACGCACCTAAGTGCCTATCTGTGTCATCTCATGCCTGGGCTACAATAGTGGCTTCCTAGCTGGCCTCCCTTTTCCCACTGCAGTCTGTGGCCCACATCGCAGCCAGTGCTTCAGTGCCTTTTTCTAAAACGTTACTCAGGTTACTCCATGATCAGCTTTCAGCCTCGGGAATGCCTTCAGCCCTCTCAGTTCCTCTCAATGGTTTATAAAATCTGCGAGATCTGGCCCCCACCACCTCTTGGCCGTGTGTCTAACCACTCTCTTTCCCTTGCTCCTCTCTGACCACAGGTTCCAAATCACACTTCCCCCAGATAGCCATCCATCCACATGGCTTCCTTTGTCACTCATGTCTCTGCTGAAGTGTCACCTCCTCATAGAGGCCTTTCCTGAGCCCCCACCCCATGTAAAAGAGCTCTCAAGTCTCTCTGTCTTCATATCATGATTTATTTTATCTTCAGTCATCACTACCCAGTGTTCCATGACTGACTTTCCTTCCTTCAGCCAGTATTTGTTGAGCCTAGCTAAGGGCTAGGCTCTGTTCTAGGTACTGGGTATACAGAAGGCAAGAAGACGGGCAAATCCCCCTTGACATGGAAATAAGGGAGAAACATGCTATACTCACTGAGGAGGTAGAATATATGATATACTAGGTGGTTCTGGGCAAGACTAAAGCTGGACAGAAGGTAAGGGAGTGATGGTACAGGAGAGGGAGAGTTCTAGTGAAAATCGGGTGGTCAGGGAAGGCCTCAGGGAGGCAGTGGATCACTGTGCCAAGCACTGAAGAGGTGAGGGAGTGAGCACCGTGAATAAGCAGAGGGAAGGAGAGGACACCATGTGTGAAGGCTCAGAAGGGGAAGCCTGTGGCTGCAGGAGGAGCCCGGGGAGAGGAGGAGATATGGCCAGAGAAATGATGAGGACACCAGGCCGCAGGACCCTCACACGCATGCCAGCCTCAGCCTAGGTGCTTTTCAACAGAGCAGCAGCCTGAGCCAACTTACATTTTTACTGGATCCCTTTGGCCCTTGGGTGGAAAATAGACTTTAGGAGAGCAAGGATTGAAATAGAAAGTCTTGTTAGCCTGGGAAAGATTGGAGTGGCTAGGACCAGGGTGGCAGAGGTAGAGGTGGTGAGCAGCGATTGCAGTTCAGATATATTTTGAAGGTAGATCCTATGGGTTGTATCAAGAAATTGAGAAACAGAGCATGAAAGGATGCCTCATTTCAGGGTTCTAAAGCCAGACTGCTGGAGAGATGCAGATGCCAGAACTGAGACCAGGAGGGTACTGAGACCAGGAGGCTGCAAGGGCATGGGGCTGGGGCGGAGAGAAGGTCAGACGTCAGCTGGCTTTGTGGAGCCTCTGTGGGTATTAGAAAAAGGTTCCCCCTCTGGGCTGAAGCTGTTTTGCCTCCACTCCTGGCCCTCTGCAGGAACTCTTGATGTACAGTTGCAGGCAGTGTCATTTATTAGGGGCTTTGGTTTGGGATATAAGTTTATATCCAATGAGATGCTGACTGCGCAGCTGGTTATGAGCTTGGCACTCAAGGGAACAGATAGAACCACAGGCGTAAAGGCTATTTGTGAGCATTCCTGGCAGTTTTAGCTTTATATTTATTTATATGTGAGTTGCATTGTGCATTACATATCCCTTACTCATCTGTTCGTCATCTCCTCCACCCTGATGTGAGCTGGAGGAGGACCGTGACCATGCCTGCATTTCCTGATTGGTTGCATTCCTAGACCTAACACAGTCCATGCTGGCACCTGGGGCACTTAATGAACACAGCTGAATGAATAAACTGGGGATGCCACTGCTTCACGCTTGTTCTGTGGCTTCATGAAGTTGAGTATGTGGCCAGCCCTATATGCCAATTTCTATGCCAGATGGTCCCATTCTCATTCTATGCCCAAAGCCCAAAAAGAGCTTTTTAAAATCCTCTACCACTCACTACCATTTATCGCTTGGTTACCAAAAGGAAATTTATGTTCAAAATGACTTTTCATTAATCGATTGCCTTGCAGCTAAAACCCACATTAAAGTGATGAGAAAACTTAAAATGAAGGACAATAAAGATGGTTTAGATATCAAGTACTTTTCATGGTGACCTCTTTTAACTTTTTCTTTGCTGCATTGCAGGCAAGTATTCTATTTCTATCCTACGAGATGACAAAAAGAGTGACTTTATTCAGCATTTCTGTTGCATTTAGACTCATAACTGAGGAAGAGAGATGCCTAGGGCCTCAGTATTTTTATTTGGAAAGGTCAGAAATGGCTTTGTGCAAGAGGTGAGGTTTCAACTGACTTATGTATCAGTTATCTATTGCTGTGTAATTACAAACAATCCCACATTTAGTGGCTTACAATAATAAGTACTTATTATTGCTCACAAGACCGTGGTTCAACTGGGCGGTTTTTCTGGTCTTGGCTGAGCCCACTTGTGCATCCTGCTCATTGTGGCTGGATTCACTCATGTATCTGGGGGTCAGCTGGCTGTAGGCTGCTCTAGCATGGTCTTGGTTGGAGCATCCAGGTGCACATCTGGCAGCAGGCTGGAAAAGGCTCGTTTACATGCCAGTGGCAGGGTTCCAAGAGCAAGACTGGACATGCCCAAAGCTTCTTGAGGTCTCAGCTTGAAACTGGCATAGCATAACTTCTGCCACCTTGTATTGCTCAAAGCAAATGGAGTAGAGGCTCCTTTCTTGATGGAGAAGCTGTGAAGTCACATTGCAAACAGTATGGGCAGAAAGAGGCCATTAATTTAAAACATCATTCTAATACACAGGCTTGAAGGAGAACTAGGGTTTGGAAGGAGGACCTCAGGGAACAGTTGTGAATCTCCTTGGATCTACAGGAGAAACAGGCTTGTCCTGCCACTGTCCCTTATCCTACCCCCCTATTTCCTGGGAAACACGAAGCATAGCTTCTCTGCCAGCTGTAGGTTTTAACACTAGATCTGTTCTCTCTCTCTCAGAAAAGACAATGTCATTGAAAGTACTTCTGTAATTGTCTTAAGTTTTCATAGAAATACACTAGAAGTTGTTTTGCAAAATGCCTCGCATATGACCTTTTTCCTTGCACAGTTACCTTGATCATGTTGCTTTTTCCACAAATAATGATCGTACCCTTCCCTTGTAGGATTATGCCCATATGTTGACCTGTGTTACTGAAAGAGAAAAGTTTATTGTACCCATCAAAGCTAGAGGCGCACGAGCCATTCTCGATTTTCCTGACAAGCTGAATTTTTCCACCTGCCCTGTCAAATACAGCACCCAGAAGATTCTGCTGGTACGAAACATTGGCAATAAAAATGCTGTATTTCACATCAAAACTTGTAGGTATGCATGCCTTTGACTCTTGTTTTTGATTGATTATAGCTAAATCTGGTCAGCTCAAGTGATTTGCTACAATAACATTGGGGGTGGAACTGCTTGTTACAGTCTTCAGTTGCAAAGCTGGCAGACCTCACTGATGAAGGATATACTTCCTCTTCATCCTCAGAGGAAACTAAAATTCAAGGTTTCATATCTCATATCCACATTACACTAAATCCTCTTACCTGTTTGGTTTTTCAAAATGCTGGATAAAAGTGCTTCTTTCAATACAGAGAATGGCCCATAGGAATATAGAAATAAATTTGTTTGGATTGAGAATTTTATAACTGGCTTGATCAGTTTCCTGTTGCCATTGTAACAAATTGCCACAAACTAAGAGGCTTAAAACAACACAAATTTATTATCTTACATTTCAGTGGGTCAGAAGTTGCACTGGGCTAAAATCAAAGTGAGAGCAGGGCTGCATTCCTTTCTGGAGGCTTAAGGGGAGAGAGTACATTTCTTTGCCTTTTCCAGTTTCTAGGGGATGTCCACATTTTTTGGCTCACGGCCCTCAGTTTTCTCATCTGGAAAATGGGGAAAAGTATACTGGCCACTTCATAAGGTTGTTGGGATAATCAAAGAAACTGCTGGTACATAGCAAGTGCTATAGAATCAGTGTTTGCTCTTTTCCTTTGATGGCTCTGAAGATATGTCCATATATATCCTAATCCCCAGAACCTGTGATTGTGTCATGTTGCATGGCAAAGGGGAATTAATATTGCAGGTATAAAGTTACTGATCAGCTAATGTTAAAATCGGGAGATAATCCTGGGTTCACAGGATGAGCCCAATGTAAAAGCCCAATGTAACCAACAAAGGCTTTTACAAATAGAAGAGCGAAGTGGAAGACTCGAGAGTGATGAGATGTGAGAGGGACTCAACCTGCTGTTGCTGGCTTTGGAGGATGAGAAAACTGAGGGATAGAGAGGCATCATTTCCTCAAGAGCACAGAGCTAGTAAGTGATAGAGTTGGATTTTAATCTGAATATTTATAGACTAGCCACAGTGTAGACACCATGGGACAGTATAAAGCAGGGGTCTCCAAATCCCGGGCCATGGACTAGTACCAGTTCAATGCGTGGTCTGTTAGGAATCAGGCTGCACAGCAGGAAGTGAGGGGCGGACAAGGGAGCAAAGCTTCGTCTGTATTTACAGCTCCTCCCCATCGCTTGCATTACCACCTGAGCTCCGACTCCTGTCAGATCAGCCGCAGCATTAGATTCTCATAGGAGCGCACATCCTGTTGTGAACTGTGCATGTAAACGATCTAGATTGTGTGCTCCTTATGAGAATCTAATGCCCAATGATCTGTCACTGTCTCCCATCACCCTCAGATGGGACTGTCTAGTTGCAGGAAAACAAGCTCAGGGCTCCCACTGACCTACATTATGGTGACTTGCATAATTATTTCACTGTATATTGCAATGCAATAAGATAGAAATAACATGTGCAATACACGTAATGCACTTGAATCATCCTGAAACCATCCACCCCACTCTGATCTGTGGAAAACTTGCCTGGCATGAAATCGTTCCTGGTGCCAAAAAGGTAGGGGACCGCTGGTGTAATGATGAGACAACCCCATCTCTCAAGGACCTCTCTCATAAGATGGAAAAGAAGAATTTGTTTTGGGGAATGAGTGCAAGTGGCAGACCAATGGGGTCTTAAAAAGAACAACCAGCTTGGGAAGACAGGAAGCGGAGTCAAGTTCTTTTCGATGACTCTTTAAAAAGTAGTGTGAACTGGATTTAAGTTCTCTTTCAGAAGGGCTTTATCTGTGGCATCCTTTGCTGGCTTAATGAACTCATTTGTCGAGAAGGGATTGGAATTTGCTTCCACTTGGTTCCCAAAAATTAGGCTGCTATGGGGTACTCTTTTGGTAATTTCCTGCCTTAGGAGTTCCTGGACTGATGGCTCATATGCAAACCCCATGCTTTCATAAGACACAAGTTCAAGTTATGAATGTTCTAAAGAAACTTTGTTTCTTTAATTTGCTGGTGGGAGAATGTTTGGGGAGTCCTTCACATTTCTCAGGTTTATAGAGGAATCTGGTACCAGTCCCCTAACTTAACCATTGTGAGGCCTTGTCTCCTCCTTGAGCAGGGCTGTTGAAAAACCAGGCTTCTGGGCTACTGGGAACACAGTGCAGACCTATCATTAGCTCCATGGCTTACTGCTGTGGTTCTTAGGTTCCTCTTTGTTTTAGAATCATATGAGTTTTTCTTATTTTTGTGCATGCTCAGTTATGCATTTAATTACATTATATTTTAGCCAGTCTTTCTAGGTATTTTCTGGTGGACAATTTTTCAAGTGACCCACTCTGCCATACTGTAGTTAGCAGCATGATCCTTTGGGAGGGAATGTGTGTTTATTTCTCCAAGTATTCTAGGAGAATCACTGTCTCTGAATTATTTCATGTTAGATCCACATTTCTGTCTGATATCCTATTTCTCCTGGTTTAAAACTACCTTTAATATTTCTTATAGCACAAGTCTACTGTAAAATCTCTGTTTTGGTCTATCTGGGGAAAAAAAGTCTTTATTTTTCCTTCATTTTTGAAAGATATATTTTGCACCATATAGAATTCTGGGCCAACAATTATATGTAGGTTTTTTTTCCCCCAATACTTTAAATATGTCACTCAGTTGTCCTTTGACTTACATTTTTCTAATGAGAAGTCTGCTGTAGTTCTTATCCTTGTTCCTCTGTATGTAATTGTCTCTTTTGCTTGGGCTGCTTCCATGATTTATTTGGTTTTTGCAGTTTGGAAATAATATATCTAGGTGTAGGTTTTGTTTATGTTTTTCTTTTTGTTTTAAGGATTTTGTTTTGCTTTTTCTTGGTTTGGGTTTTAATCTTGCTTGAGGTTCTCTGAGCTTTCTTAATCTTTCATTATTTTTTGGAAAATCTCAGCTATTGCATCTCCAAATTTTTTTTGTTCCATCCTCTTTCACGTTTTCTTCTGTTTGTAGGAAATTTCTGCCTACCACAGGCGAAAGCCACAGTCTAAACAGTATGTACATGTCCCATCTCCCTTGGGAGGAATGGGTCTGTCTTTAGATTTCAGGCTATTTGCTGTGCTACCTCAGCTCTCTAACAAGCACAAGAAATTTGTGATTTTGTCATTTATCTCACTTTTTCTCATTATTAGGGTAAAGAAAACATTCTTTCCAGCTTTCTGCATCCTAGGTAGAAGCAAGATTCTTAACCACTTTAAATAAATCAACCACTAAAAACAAAGGAAAAGTTCTTTTGGAAACCAGTGTCTCCTGATGTTTATAAGTGCTTTACAGGTCTTGTTTGTTGTCTCATGGCACACCCCACATATTTTGATGGAGGGAGAAAAAAGCAGGTTGTTCAACTAGCTTACCAGGACTTAGAGATAACACATCTTGGCCAGGCATGGTAGCTTACACCTGCAATTTCAGCACTTTGGGAGGCCAAGGTGAATAGAGCACTTCAGCCTAGGAGTTCGAGACCAGGCTGGGCCACATGGTAAAACCCCTTCTCTACAAAAAATACAAAAAAAAAAAAAAAAAAAAAGGGGATCTGGGTATAGTGGTCCATACCTGTAGTTCCAGTTACTTGGGAGGCCAAGGTAAGAGGATTGGTTGAGCCGAGGAGGTCAAGGTTGCAGTGAGCCATAATCACGCCACTGCACTCCAGCGTGGGTGACAGAGAGAGACACCCTGTCTCAAAAAAAAAAAGAAAAGAAAAAATAACCCATCTTTTTCAATGGAAAAAAAATGGTTTTCTACAACCATTATTCATAATCCTATTAAAAACTATTACACTGTTATTTTTTCTATGAAAAAAAGAATCCACCTAAGGTAGAAATGCAAGTGAAGGGACATATCTTGCTGGACTGAAATAATGTCCAACGGGAAATTGGGTGAATTTGAAAAAAAAAAAAAAAAACCACCCCAAAATGGCAATTTCTTATATATTTGATTCATGTAAATGTGAAGCAAAAATCACTTCACAGATTTAATAGTGTGAAGTTGCAAAAAAATCTAAAACCTTTCTATCCATCTACCTATGAATATGAATTATCGTGTTTTCCTAATATAGAAACAATTCTAAGGTATAATGAGAGGCAACTCAGGGACTGGCCAGGAATCATCAATAGTAGACATGCCCGCTCAGCATTCCCATTTTACAATGGAGTAAAGGCTGAGGAGTGAAATGACTTACCCAAGGTCCCCCAGTAAGTTAACATCAGAACCTGGATTCATGCAAACATGGGCCATTTCTGGGCTTGTTTGCCCTCAGGTCCATGTCTCACCATTCCCCAGCAATGCCCAGTGTCACCGTGGGGCTTCGTGAGCCTTCCTAGCCTCCTGGCTCAGCTGGATTCCCCTAGGTTTGACTAGTCAGAGGCACTAGCAGGAGGCTGGAGAGTAGGAAGAAAGAAGAAGCCTCCTCCCTCTGTCTTCAGCAGAGTTCCCAGCTGCCACTGCATCTCCTCCATGGTTCTAGCCATTGTCAGGCCAGCCTGACAGTGGCTAGACCCTGTCACCTGGCAGAAGTTAAAACCATGGCAGGCCAGCCTGACAGTGGCTAGAACCTGGGGATCTGATAACACTTCCTCCTCTCCTTTTGATAACACTTTTTGATCTGATAACACTTCCTCATATCCTGGGGATCTGATAACACTTCGTCTTCTCCTTTTGCTTCTAGCCCAGAGGTGGAAATAGCTTACCACTGTTAGGAATCTCAGAGCTGTCTCATCATCTTCAGTTGGGTTTCTCACTTCTCCCATCTTCTGTGTAACCAAGTGTCTCAAATTCCCTGTTTGCAAATATTTTGGTTTTCCTATTTAGATTCTTCATGAAATAATAGCTTTATGTTCTTTCCACAAAATGCCTGTTTTTCAACCACCATTGATTCTGTGAGTTGCCTCAGGTCCTTCCAGTCAGTCCCTTTTCTGCTTAAATTAGCCACAGATGGCTTCTGTTGTT